AGGTTGGAGGCCATCGCTAGTAAGTTGGAGGCCATTGCCAGCAGGTTAAATTTAATCAGCATAACAAAAAAATGTTTAATCAGCTCAACCTCTGTGGGCCACACGAGGGTAAAATTTAGAGTGGGAAGGAGCGATTGCATCCCTTTTGTGGGCCACATGAGGGTTAAATTTAGAGTAGGAAGGAGCCATTGCAAGGCAGCGTGTGTGTTTCCCAGGGAGCTTGAAAGGGCCACCACCAAAAAGCCTGTGTGCGTAGATGAGTCCAGCGAAAGGCTTGTGTGCACAGATGAGAGAAATCTGTGTCCGCAGATGATGCGGCGCAGATGAGCGAAACTGAGTCCGCGGATGAGTCCCTGCCCCCCTGGCACCTTGATCCCCCGGTCCTACTGCAAATACGCCCTAGTAGTTCCTCTCTTAGTCTTTCCTCGCTGCTTCTCTCCTTTGTTTTTTTCTGTCCCTCTCTCCCTCTGTCTCGCTCTCGTGCTACATCGCTTTATCCTTCTGCTGCCGCTGCTGCTTTTAAACATGCTGCCATGAAATCTGCATTTCAAGATTCACAAAGTGCTGCACCTGCCACGAAATCTGCACTTAGACGTGCGCAAAGCATTGCGTTTACCAACAACTTCTGTGCGTCCACCTTCGCAACCTGCTACACCCACGAAATCTGCTCTGCTAGGTCCACAAAGCATTGCGCCTGACACCGCAAGTGATAACTATTTGTTGATCGCAATTAATTTTCTGTTTGATCTCCTAAAACAATTTTCTTTGATCCTTCACCCTATAGGTTGGAGGCCATTGCTTTTACAAAAATGTTCTTAGTAGGTTGTTAGTTATGACATCCGCCGAGGCACTGCTGCCTCTCAGAGCGTGGTGGTGGCGACGTGATGCGCCGTTCGCATCGGACGGTGGGCTGCTCCACTCGGAGTTCGGCAGGCGGATGGCTCGGGCGGCTCACGTTGCGAGATGTGAGAGTTCGGAGCAAGAAACCGATCGAATCTCGCTAGACTCTTGCTGACTGAAGGCAAAAGCATGTCAGGAGTCAGAAGACATTCAATCCATTCTTTTGCAACAAAACCTTTCAGAGACTACAGGATACCCATGCACATTCCTCATGGTAGCAGTCTGCCCTGAGATGCCTAAGCTCCCACCTGCCAAATCTGTTGATATTGGGACACAAGAGTGTCGCTCAGCTCTCTGTGCTGCAGCTTTTCTGCCGCACCAATTTTTATGAAGCTGTCACTGTTGATTTGGGTTGAACATATCGTCACGCTGACAGACTCTTGAACAGTTGACATGCTTGAAGCAGCAAAATAGCGCCGCATTGGAGACATTGGTTCTTTGGTGAAAGAACCTTGGATTGGCGACCCTGAAAGGGTCTTGCGAATGGGTTGTAGCTGACAAGGAGCTCTACACCCAGCTAATGAGAAGTTCAGCAGCTTGTTGAGCAAGTTGTTGAATCAGATTGAGCAGCTACCAGCTGCTGTGTGGCCAAGCTAGGTCACCGCCATGTGTGACATAAATCCAAAATCAACATACTACATATATATATATATATATAATATATTATATATATGCAATCTCTGGAAAAGATCAAGAAACTCTGGCAGACAACGAGCGACCGTACACAATATTTATGCATAAGGGCTCACAATGAAACTGAAATGAGTCAAATCAGCAGAATGCGAAGGCTCGGAGGATGTTCTTGTAAACTTCTTGGAAGGACCACACCAGTTTGCGAAAGCCCTCAGGCTGCCAAAGCGTCTAGCAGTGACTGCTTCGCAGCAGACGTGTGGCGCTTTTCAAAGAAAAGGGTGGCAGGCAGACTACCAGCAGACTAAGTCAACCTCAATCCTAATATGCCTATGCTGACAGATTTTTCACGCAACTACATTGCAAGGAAGACGCTTTGCCTGCCACATATTCTTTCTCATACCGAACTCTTTGCAAATGTGGCCCGAAAATCAAGTGAGAGCGGATCGGTACCTTGGGTTCTGCATTTGAAGCCTGCTTTCCACAGTTCATGATCCTTTTCACGAGTTTCAGAGGCTTTCACACGGAAATTCCTAAGTCAGTCCCAAGCCATCATGCATTGCGTTCACGTATATTGTGTCATTTGTGATTGGCCGTCGCCGTTTGGGATCTCAATGAGGTGCCACGCTGCCACGCGTGGCGAGTGCCCAGTGCACATGCAAGGTGGACTTCGACTCGTGAGGCTGTCGCCCAGCAGTAGCAATGGCCTCCACCCAAGTAGCGAATGTTTCCACCCTAGTAGCGATGGCCTCCAACATCCTCCACCCTAGTAGCGTGCCTCTGATGTGCAAAATCATTGTTCTTTTTATTTTTTTGTGGCATTCCGGCTAGAGTCGTTCAGACGCAGCATTGTGCCAATAGTATCCGATTGTCATTGCCTATGGCTGTTTAGTAGACGTTTAGCTTGGTGAACCACGGCAAACAACCCAGGTAGACCAATGGCTGACCTGTGTCAGGAGCTCTTACCTTGAGGGTGGCCTTTTGAGAGGCATCCAGGTCCAGGAGCTGGGTGATCGACGCTTGGGAGGATTTTGTTGGGGAACACTGAATTCTTTTTAAGGTTGCTGGATGGTCTGAAACAATTGCACCCCACTGCACAGACGCATGCGTCGGTCATTGAACCTGTCACGAACATAATAGTCGGCGTGTTGAAAACAGATGTCAAAGCAGAGTTTGAGTTTTTGTTTTGCATGTCGGGCTACAAGCCTGCAGTCTGCAGCCGTTGCAAAATCTCAACGCTCCGCTTCTTGCATACCCTTTTTGTGACGCCGATGCTCCCATTCGCGCGTTTTCTTTTTGTCTTTATTCTGCACGCTCCATGGAGCTGTGGATCTGAACGCTCCGAGAATGACACGGAAGGATTGATGCAAATTCATACCGCAAGGCTGGTGGACGATCCGGTGGATCGCTCCAGCGTCCGACGTGATCCAGCCGACCGAGCTGACCGTTGCTTGGATGCAGAGCGGCAAGGCGTGTGTTCTTTTTGGTTTCGGAGACCATCGCTACTGGGGTGGAGGCCATCTCCTGGAATTCCCCTTGCTTGTTTTGCATGGCTTGGTCTGCCGGCAACGCTTCTTTGTCCTGTTCCAGGTCGACTGCATCGACGACATGGACGACAACGTGGGCGGCGGTACGGTTATGGACAAAGGACAACCACGACCACGACTTTGCTGCCGAATGTGATCAAACTGATGAAAGATTTGGAGGCCTCAAGAGGCCAGAAATTTTGTGTGTGTGTCCACCCCTGGACAAAGGGTTTTCCACCGCCACTTTTTTCCACGCCTTTCCACCAACTATTTCAACCAAGCAGGGGGCAGAGGGATCTCCAGTTGTGGCCTCTGCCAACGAAGCTCCACACTGGATGATCAGGAAAACGTACCTGCGCCGTGACACTACTCCACTTTTCCTTGCTGTTTTTTGATGCCATGGTCCTTCATGATACCACCCCGAAACAGGCTTCCCTCCACAGATCTGCAGCAGCTTAGCCGCCGCTTTGAGTGCCACTGAAAACACGGTTAAACCATACTGTTGTCGCCGACTCTTCCACCTTGCGGTTCCATCGCCATCCTTCCCATCGTGGATACAAGTGTCAGAGTGTGTTTCGCTCAGCCGTCCCACTCGGGTGCTGAGTGTGATCCCCGTCACAGGGGCGCGGTTCTTCACGTCGGTAAGCAACCAACCCAACATGCCACCTCTCACCGGATTTCCACTGGAAGTCATTGACACATCCTTTGAATCAACTGATGCATTGGCCGCCGGGCCCAAACACGGAAGTCCCTCGACAGCCGCCGGGCTATAAAAACGGTGCATTTTTTAACCCCCAATGAGGCAGGTTCCCCCACCCCCCTGAAAAGTAGAGCCTACCTGTACAGGGTTCCACTCCAACAGCTGATATAGTGTGTCCATGCTTGACTGCTTCAAGGCTCAAAGAGCAAGAGGATAAGACTCTGCGTGAGTAAAAGACACTAGCGGTCTGCACCTCTACCGTGTATGCCCTAGTCACTCTTTCAGTGGTAGCGGAGCCGTGATCCTGGAAGACCCAGGTGAGCTCCTTTCCTAGGCATAGAATTGCTTGTGGGCAAACGGCCATGGATTGGATTGACGACTGGGAAGAGCCTGATGCGGATGTGGCTTATGAGCCAGCAGCCTACGTGAATAGGCATGTGAGAAGAGAACCAGCAGCAATAGCAATGACAACACAGGTCACTACAAAGGTGCCCCCATCTTATGATGGAAAGACTTCATGGTTTTCCTATGAGGATGCCATAGACGATTGGTGTGATATCACCGAGCTGGAAGATGAGAAAAGAGGACCAGCTTTGAGAAACAGATTAGAAGGAGAAGCAGCAGTATACAAACGTGTATTAGACAGAGATTCATTGAAGGCTAATGAGCCACCAGGAGCAGGAGTAGATTACTTCAAACGAGTACTACGACCATATTTCGCGAAAGGATCAACCAATGTATTCCTATACAGGTTTATGCAATTCGTGCGATTCAATCGAGGATCAGCTGACATGATGAAATGGATGACAAGATTCCAGATTTTACTCCAAAGGCTTATGAGCAGTTGGATGGACATGTTAGAACCAGTCACTCAAGCACATCCCCAAGTCCTTGCTCAGATGCAGGCAGATGCAGCGTTGACTGGAGTAGCACCAACGGCAGAAAGGATTCAGGAAATCATGCAGAATGTCAATGGCAATATGAGAATTCTTCATCAGAATGATTTTCCTTTAGGAGAGAATCTCATTGCCCTACTCATGCTGTCCCTTGCAGATTTGTCTCAGGACCAGCGAAACACTTTGACTTCGTTGATGACTCATCGTGGCAGGTACCTGCAGCAATACACTACAACAGAGCTGAGGACAGTTTTCCTCGAGATGTTCTGCACGACAAAGACTTCAGTAGACAATCCATTGATGCAGCCGACAGGTGCTGGAGGTAGAAGATCATTTCTCGTACTAGACGAAGGAGAACCCGATGGTACATTTGGCTATTGGGCCGAAGATGAAGAAGATGGAACAGAAGGATTTTTAGATGCCCTGGACGATGTCTTTTGGGTATATGATGATCAAAACTTCTCGTGGTTCCAAAGGAGATTCCAAGGAAGAAGAGCCAGAAAAGGCAAAGGAAAAGGTAGAAGGAAAGGAAAAGGAAAAGGAAGATCAGGCCGTAGATTCTTCAGACCTCGTGGAAAAGGAAAAGGAAAGAGACGAGGTAAAGGCCATTTTGCTGATGAGCAACAGACAACTTTTCCAGATGAATACCTTGAAGAGAATCCTTATGAGGACACTTGGGAGTCAACCCAAGGAGCATATGATGCCATTCTTGCCGAGGATATGAATGACTATCTTCAAGGAGAATATGATGATGCCAATGACTTTTGGCAACAGCTTGAAGAAGCATGGTTTTCCCACAAAGGAAAAGGAAAAGGCAAGAGAAAAGGCAAGAAAGGAAAAGGAAAAGATAAAGGAGATGGCAAACAAGATGCAAACTATGCAAATCAACAACAGCCACGTTCTTTACCTGCACCTTCAAGAACTTCACAAGCATCAGGAGGTCAACAAGGTTTCTTTGCACATTGTGTGACAGCAGCAGCTGAAGTCCATGACAGTGAGGTGGACTTGCTGTCAGGCATGATGACCTCATGCCAAGATGAAGCTGACTGCGTGGTCAACAATGGTGAGACGATCTTCGATGACATGAGTGCCCCTGTGAGGTACTCGTTGTCAAAGGAGATGCTCACAAAGGCTCCTGATGGCTTTGCGCTTATGAGCGCTGATGGCTTTGCGCTTATGAGCGCTGAGGAAGAAGTGAAGGAGATGCAGGCTATTTCATTTTTGACTGAGAATCGCTTCCCGCCAACTATTGCAATCCTGGACATTGGATGCACTAGAGCTATGGGATCAAGGCGAGCAGTCGACCATTTTTGCAACTATGTCGACAATCACCCAGATTGTGGATTATGGTACTCTTTTGAGTCTACCAAGAGCAAGTTTTACTTTGCCAATTCCCAGAAGGCTACTTGCTCTCAGAAACTGGTGATTTATATGTATGATCGTGCATGGACGATCCACCATACAGAGTTCGACATAGTGGAAGAAGGAGAAGTCCCTTTGCTTATGAGCTTGCCACAGATGAGGAACTTAGGCTTTGAACTCAGGCTGACACCTCAACATGCTTATCTGACATCGGTGCCTCTTGGTATCAAATTGTTGGAGTTGAAGGTTGCAGCCAGTACTCATCTTGTGTTGGACTTCCAAGATATTGCATGGTATCTGTCTGACGTGCGTTGGCAGACTCAGCGTGAGAAGAGTTTTTACTCTCACCTCACTCACTATGAATATGGCCATATTTCTGTTGAACACAACAGTGATGAAGGTGAAGCTGAGCATGCATATCCTGTGGTTGATTTCTGGGAAGTAGATGTTCACAAGAGAGAACTGATACGTCACCACAAGGATTACAGGAAAATTCTTTTCCCAGCAACTAAGTCCTGTCCTGTAGACACTGACTTGCTGGAAGACTTGCGACTGACAATCATCAAGAAGAAAGCAGGAGGAGAAGAAATCAAGAAGACAGATGATTGGCGCAAGGCAAAATGGAAGGACCTACAACTTGGCTATGAATGGCGTGGTAGAACAATTTTTAAATTTAAGCCAGATGCCAAAATTCCAGATCTAAAGATCAGGAAGGCTGGCATTGAGCACCGTGGCATTGGTGATCCCGATGCAGTGGTGCGCTCCTCCTCAGAGAAGGTTCCCATTGCAAAGGACAGGGAACCAGGCTTCTCGTCAGAGAAGGAAGGTGCACCATCCAGTGCCGCGGAAAAGCCCGTGCCGCCAAAGTTCCGGTATACTTCCAAGGGTTTTGATCCATTTTGGAAAGGACACAAGTCAAAACCATCTGAGCCTCAGAATGATTTAAAGGGTGATGATCTTGAGGAGTATGCTCCTTCAGAACCACCTGAGAGGCCAGAAGGTGAACTTGTAGAAATTCCTAAAGCATCAAAAGGACCATCAAGTGATAAACATGAACCACTTGAACCAGGTGATGGCGCTCTTGAGCCTAGGCGGATTTCAATCCCATTACCTGGTAGTGAAGTTGTTGCAATGACACCGGCATATAGGAAGATGTTACAGAGACTGGAGGACAAGGTAGAGCTTTATAAGCTTCATGTGAAGCACTACCATATGAGTCCTACTCAGTTTCGTAGACGTGTTTCTATGTTGAAGCTTCCTGACTCTGTTTTAGAGAAGTATGAATCAGTTGTCAGGAACTGCCGTGTTTGTAACACTTCAGTGGCACCTCCGCCACGAGCCAGAGTCTCCGGTATTAGAGCTTCATGTTTTGGTGATGTTGTTTTTGCTGATCATTGTGAGGTTGAACTTCACAAGAACAAGTATATCATTCTACTTGTTCTTGATGGTGCCACAAATCTTCTCTGGGCTACGGCACAGAAAGACCTCATAGATCAAACCACCATCCAAGCATTGAGGCAATGGTCTGATGAGAACAACTGTGTTCCAAAGGCCATCGTAGGAGACGAAGCCTTTTTCACCGATGCTTTTGTTGAATACTACAGGTTCCATGGTATACAACAATGTCCTTGTGGGCCAAGAACTCCTTGGCCGAACCGAGCAGAGACAGCTGTACGTTTGTTTAAACGTATGTGGCATGTTATGAAGGTAGATCTGGATGACCCACGTTTTCGTGGTGTTACGGTCAGAGAAGTGGTCAAGAAAGTAGTGTGGGCAAGAAATTGTCAGTTGACTATCAGTGGATATTCACCAATAGAGATAGCAACTGGAAGACGTCCACCAGATCTTTTTGACCTTGAGACCGCAAGCCCTGAGCAATTGTCAGCTAATGCCGCCGCACAAGATCGTACAAATTTGGAACTACAACGTGTGGCTTTGAGAGCTCATCAAGAAGCACGACAAGCTCAGGACCTTCGAGCAGATCTTGCGAGAAGGACTATGCCAAGTGACGGTCCTTATTTCCAAGGAGAGAAGGTTTTTGTTTGGACTCAGGATTCATCAAAGTTCAAGGATAAAGGACGTTGGGTTCGTGCCACAGTACTTGGACAAGAAGGAGCTATGGTCCAAGCCAATACTGGTAAGGCAGTGATACGTGTGAATCAGTCAAAGGTTAGACGTGATCACGATGAGTGGCATGATGTTTCCATTCCGGCATTAGACGATGAGAATCCG